CGAGCACGTTACAATATTTAATTAGAGGAAAATAAGTAAATTGGTGCAGCAGAGCGACGTTATTCTTCCACTGCACGCGCATATCAAGTTTTAATTAAGTATTTTGTTTGCTTGAAGGATTTTCTCTCTACTTTGGCTCACGCGATATTTTCGTGCATAACCCATAAGTAGTTTCACTTTCAGTCTAAAAGGAGTCGATCCACTGACTGAATTTGGTCTTATCCAAATATTTTCAATCATTTTAGAATTTTTAGACAGAAGGCATTTCCCTTTTCTTTTTAGATTGGACTGGAATGTGATGTTGATTTTTAGTTGCTAAAAGTAGAGACGTTTAGAGAGGTAGGACGTATCAGCTTTCGCAGCTGCTAGTAAAACGGCTTGTTACTACTACATGTAGGGCCTATATACTTGTTTGCAAAATCAGTGAGCAAATAACTTAGGATAGGCCTTTAGTAGCTTGGAGAGCAGTCAGTCTCGTTCTTGTGATAAAACTATTGGCAGGGGGTACGTGCCCCCCCCCAAGTCCTGGGTCCCCCCACTAAAAAAAAAAGGATGAATGGATATCGAACAAGGCTAACAAAAGCGTGTCCCCAAAAAACACAGCACGGAAAGCTGGTGCTCTGCATAAGATGCTGGTGTCCCCTTGTACCCTCCCCCACTTGTAAAATGCTATAGCTACGCCACTGCCGGTATTGAAACTCAGAGAAGACTTATTATTAATAATTATTAAATAAACACGAAGCAAAAACAGGCAACCAAGACCTTTTTATCGAAAGACAAATGATGACTTACCGTCCCAATTTGCAGTCGAGACAAGAACACTGTCTTGATACAAGTTTTGATTCACTTCCCAACTGGCCAAAACAGAAAAGGGAATCGGCTTATGCTTCCAGTTCAAGATACAGAACTGCTCGTTTCCTGTTCACATACCACACTCCCTGAACTCGGTCGCTTTAAAAATCAATGTCGTGCAGCTCACCAGAATACTGGTTTATACCCCTTATATTACCCCACGTCGATTTTTCATCTGTTTTGCACCATCTTGCAACGAACCTCTTCACCGTTTTTGAATGGGGAAACGTTGTTTTGGGAAATTGTCTTTAAGCCCGGAAAAATAGGGGCGGGTGCGTGAAGTCTTGGTCACGGCATATCGCTCATCTTTTGCGCATGAGCTGTGTGACATTTGAGTGTTCACTGCTAAGCGACATGTGTGTGCATATCCGCTTTTAGTCTGAGAAATGTGTATGATAAATTTGACCCCTGGCAGATTCAAGGGTGAATCGGTGTCCCCTCCCCCCGAGCCCATTGGAGAAAAAGAGAAAAAGAGGAACTTTTGAGTCCAATCCATTGCCTTACTTTAAAAAAAAACACGTACCAGCCCCGAAATGCACCCTCACCCACAAGAAAGGCCAGAAAAGATTAAGTGATAAAAGCCAAAAGTTCGGCGACCCAACAGGTTTCACTCCAAAATGTCTGGATCCAGATTGGACAGATTACGTAGGCTTTGGGTTGTGGTGTCAAATAGACTCGGAAACAGTTTTTATTTGTGGCAATCATTAAATCAATGGAAACAAGTATGAACATGGAGACCAACCCGACGGCGATTTGATAATCTCGCCCTAGATTGCATAGTGGATAAAATGCACAGAACTGATTCGACAACAAACCGTGCAACCTGCATCAGTTTGAGGAAGTGAAAAACGTGTCAGTTAATTCTTTAATAATACCCAAGAGGCACCGCCTAAAAGCCATAGGGAGTCAGTTTATCTTTAAGCCGTGCTCTAATTACTTGACAGCGCTTGAAATTATACACAACCCTATGGCAAATGGCTGCCACCAAAATAGATTCGCACTTGATTTCAAACCGCAGTTAAGTATTCCAGACACGACTTTATTATTCTGAAACATGGCATTACAGATTGTTTTCAAATTCCTGTTTCCTCTGGGCCTACGCTTTGGCTTCAACCAATTAAGAGTTTGAAGTTTATTTCCATATGTCACAACAATTGCAATGAAGCAAACTAACATGCAGATGGTGAAAAATGGGGGCACTAAGAAAAAGCCTAAACTTACACAAAGCCCAGTCCCGTTTAGAAAGTGTAAATAAGTAACTTTAAGACAATTTATTTGAAGAATGCCCAGACCTCAATTGAACTCAATATCATTGTCGTTGAGCGAAAGATTTTAATACCGAGGATCCCATTCATGAAATTATAGCTGAAGCCCGATACGAGACGAATTAAGCCGACTTCAATAACAATGTTTGATCTTCAGCCTCGACCGCTGCACAATTTGACACCTGTAGTCTTTACTTCAGTCGCTTTGCAGTTTCTCTGCTCCGTCGGAGACTGCGAAAACTTAGGAGTGACGGCTGCACGGAATCTATAATAGACAGTTTCTAAACTATGGATCGTCTCTATTCACAATGGATTCATGCTTCATTTTGATGAATTTTTATCTTCTATTATAACAACATTCCTAGTAATAAAAGAATGAGCATAAGATACGTTTGATAGATGATAGGAGTATTTTCGTTTTGGTTAAGCATCAGCCCTAAAAGTTCTAGTGCTCCAGATGAAACCAAGTGGATACGTAGCTGACATTTGGATAATTGCCCGGGATTCTGTCGTTCAGTAAGTCTGGCACCCAGACTCACCTCTTACGTAAATATATATCTTATTTAGCCAGGTCCTCAGAACCAGACGTGGGTGCATCGTCAGTGGGTGGCAATAGGTATTGATGGTGGTGCAATACCTTCCGCTGATTCAGTGTTTACAAAAAAACACATCAGCAATTTCATCGTTTAAGGAGTGCCCGTAGAGCATTCACCGGCCTGAACCTTCCAGAATTATCAAGGCTTAGATGATGACACTTATTGCAATATGTTGAGTAGACTAGTTTAAAACCTAGTAACATTCGTGTTACAAACTTCACTTGTCACATGCTTGCGATACTTACTGGTGAGTGCTATGCTAGACGGTAGACAGGCTACATCATCATACATGTAGCCCCCATCATCAGATTTAAAATTTTCTGATTGACCTCAACCTGGTTGCAGGTTATCGTCATGGCCTTATGAATGAGGTAGGCCCCAGCCCTATAGTACTTAGTAAACTGCTAACTGGGCTACTAGGCTAGTTCAGTAGTTGGTACGTGGCTCATGCACAGAGCCTCGAAACTAACCTAAGAAATTGTCAAGAAAAAAAAGCAGGAAAATGATTTTGATGTATTGCAGGACTAACCCCTAATGTGTGTTCAGCAGTAGGCTACAGCCAGTGTACTGCCCTACTGTAGTACTTTGCGTTTACGTCCAACTTCTGCAGCAGGTGCAAGTCTGCAAATCTTGAAACGGCTTTTGGATTTGAAATCCTCTGTGTAGGCAACAGTGACGACTGGATCCTATCATACCTTTCAACATGACAAACCATAGTTTGAGTAAAAACTAGGACTCTGCAGTTTGTCTCTTTTAATATTGGATGTCAACCATGCCCAAGAGTTAAAAGAGGAGATTTGTAGAGTCCTAGTAGCAGGCCTAACTCTGACTAGATAAACATATGATAAAACACTGATTTAAAGTGCATATTGTTACTCAATTTTTTGTGTCGAACGCAGGTACCGTACATGTACATGTATTGATGAGTCATTAGGAGCTTCAAACTTCCACGTTCCACCATGAAGACTGAACTGCGACAGCATTTAGATAACCCCCTGCTCACGTCAAGTCTGGCACGGACAGGAACAGGAGGCCCCACCAGAAGTGTGGGCACCACCCCTTCGCCGCAGCTCAGCAACCCCCGCCTGCAGTCCAGCAGTAAGAGCAGTGGTGCACTGCTCACAACAAGTGGCGACAAAAATGCCCTGGCTTCCCACGCTGCTGCCAAGCCGCTCTCCATCCACATGAAGCAGGAAAGCTTGAGCCTGCAGCACAGCCGTCTTCGGCTCGGCTCCAAGCTGACTCCACTGTCCGCCTCTTCCTCCCTCCTCAGCAGCACGTCCTTGAAGACAGGTGGGCTGCTGAGCAAGCCCCCTACATCTGCAGTCTCCAGCAAGTCAGCTCTCCTACCGAAAAGTCCACACGTCTCGACCACCAGCACACTGATCAGCGGCACACCTACCAAAGCCAAGGCTAAGCCTGCCACACATCGCCGGGTGCAACTGGAGTCCTCACACCTGGGCTATGGGCCATCCTCGCATCCCCGTGCAGCGCAGTCCAAGGAAACCGCTGAGAACACCGCACAGATACATGTAGCTGAGCTGGCGACAGACTTTGAGATTCCCAATTACAACTTTCATGGCAATTTTACAGATGCAGAGGACCAGTTCTGGGACCTGGATGATGAGACGTGCTTTGAGGCTGTAGATCCTGAGATGCTGTCCTTGATGATCTCCTCGGAAGATGCCAAGTCCAAAAAGGTAATCCACAACTCCGAATATCACAGAGTGAAAACTTTACAAAAGACAGGTCTTAATTCACAGTTTGAAACCTTTAAGCCTTCCCCTACAGATGTATGGTATTGCAGTGGTCGGTTTCATCTTACCAAATGCACAGTGTACATTTCTTCATTAGGTATTTGGAAATTGGAACCCGAGGTCAGATATTAGACATTGAACTCTCTTCCAGGTTTTTGAGAAGAAAGGGAGGTGGACCCCACCCCCCGTTCTTAAAGATGGCGTATTTTTAACATGGGAGAGGGAGTCTTCCATTTGGTGAGACTGTTGTGTCTACAGAAACTACTTACATGTGTAACTTACCTGTACTTAACTCCTCCAAACAGAAAAGATGCAGACAGGAATCGAAGAAAAAAAAAAAATCAGACAGACAAAAAGTGGAGATAAGAAACTGGTTTAGTACATTATTACTTTGCCACACCTTGTTAGCAAAGATTCTAGCAAACAGTGAATTAGATAAATGTAGTTTTTACAGGTACTTGTGCAAGTGCGACGTGTTCAATTTTACACTCATGTGACATTCTCACAGTTACCCGGGCCTGGCCCAAGTGATCAACCCACTGAGCTGGCAATTTGGGGAATTATCCCGCAGTACAATGCAAAATTATGGCGATTTAGTCGAATCTATCGAGGGAAAGGCGACACCATCATAAATAGTTCAGAAAAATTGTTGGGTGTAGTGACAAATTGTCTCATGTCAACAGAGTTCAGAAAAACACAGGCAAAAAATGTGTGTTCAGATGTCCCTTGCTTTGGACCATTTGCATTCCCTTTTCAAATTTGATTAATAAAGGACATCTTGACCTGGTCAGAGCTCTTCCAGTATACCCAAGATTGTTTGCTTACTGCCACATCTTGCGAATGCCTGTTCATGTATATGTACAGTAAAAACCTATGAAGGCACCAAAGGTACAATGCACATGGGTTATTCCAGAAATTAGGGGTCCAAAAGTGTGACATTTTTGTGTCCTTGTTACATCTGAACTTTGTTATTTGACACTCCTTGGAGTGGATTGCTGACCTCCTTTGGACTATAATCTTTACAGCGAAGCAGGGTCAGTCATGAAAAATGAATAATGTTGTGATTTGGAAGACGTTGGTCTAACAATGGAGTGTTCCATGCAGTGCTCTTTAGTTAATAGCCCCCTGCGTATGACGTCACATCAGAGGGCATTTCTTTCTTCCTCTAGGATAGACTCGAGTAAACCGACTGTGCATGCATTGTAATTAAATCAAAATAACAAAGAATAGCCTCTGACTCCGCCTTCATGCAAGGGGTCTATGATTTCAAAGTGCTCCACCAGAACTGTCATTTTTATCAAGCTAGATCCAGGTACAT